ACCAGGGGAGAGATTTCAGGAGAGGTAGCAAGGTGAGAGGTTTGGGGAGAGAGGTAGTGAGGGAAGACGTTTAGGGAGAGGTAGCAAGGAATGAAGTTTATGAAGAGATAGTGAGGGGAGAGGTTTAGGGCGAAGGTAGTGAAGGGAGAGGTTTATGGAGAGGGAGCAAGAGGAGAGGTTTATGAAGAGGTATCGAGGGAAGAGCTTGAGGGCGAAGATAGCGAGGAGAGAGGTTTAGGGAGAGCTAGTGAGGGGAGAGGTGTAGGGATAGGTAGTGAGGAGAGAAGTTTAGGGAGAGGTAGTGAGGGGGGAAGTTTAGGGAGAAGTAGTGAGGGGAGAGGTTTGGGGAGAGGTTTAGGGTGAGATAGAGAAGGGAGATGGGAGAGGGGATATGGAGAGCAAGGGAGATGGGAAGAATTGGCACGATTAATTAATGTTGAATCTCAGAATGGTTACAGCACAGATGGAAGCCATTCAGCCTATTGTGTTTGTAATGGCTCCCTGCACGAGCAACTGGGCTAGTCTACTCCACTCTCTTTTACTGTAACCCTAGAATACTTTTGTCTTCAGGTACTCCTCTATCTTTTAAAGCTTTGATAAAATATACCCCCCAACCATAATCTGAAGTGGTGTATTCTGGATCTTAACTACATGCTGTTTAAAAGGTCCTTGCTCATGTTGCTGTTGGTCCATATAAGTGGCTGTCCTCTGCATCCCCAGCTGTCTGCCAGTGGAGCAGTCTCTCCCTATCCACTGTGTCTGCACACTCCCCACCGATACAAGCAAATCTTTAACTCAAATGTTTCTCAGGAAAACAAACCCAGCTTCGCTGTACTGTCCATATCGCTGAAATCCCTCGTCCCTGGAACCATTCTGAGCATACTCTACATCACCCTCTCTAAAACCTTCACATCTTCCTTAGAATGTACAGATCAGACTTTAGTTAATGCAGTTCTGGCCAAACCAGTCTTTCTTGAAGGCCCATTATGACTTTCTTGATTTTGTATTTTATGGCATTTTTATAAGCTCACATCTCATATTTCAATTCTTGCTACTTTCTCTCTTTGGCTTTCCACCTTCACTGATTTATGCATGCATACCCTCAGGTTCCTGTTCCTGCATCCCTTTAAAATTGTACCTCCTTCATTTTAGGTTGCTCTGTTCATGCGTCTCATCAAATGTATCACCTTAGAATTTGCTGCCTTAAATCAGACCTGCCGACATGGGCCCATTCTACTGGTCTTGGTGTCCATCACTATCGTCCTCACATCTCACAACACAGTATTTTGTGTCTTCTGCAAACTTTCATTTGTGCACTGTTCTCTCCAATCCAGGCTATAAATATGTATCAAGAAAAGCAGTGGCCCTTGTCTGACCACTGGGGAGTCCTATCCTGTACCTGAATCCAGATTGATAAATGAACATTAAGCACTACTTCCTGTTTCCTGTCACTCAGCCAATGAGCTATCGTGATTTCAGATCCATGCTGTTACTGTCCCAGACAACAAGGTGCAGGGCTGGATGAACACAGCAGGCCAAGCAGCGTCTTGGGAACCCTGCAGCCCAATGGTATCAATGTGGATTTCACAAGTTTCAAAATCTCCCCTCCCCCTACCGCATCCCAAAACCAGTCCAGCTCGTCCCTGCCTCCCTAACCTGTTCTTCCTCCCACCTATCCCCTCCTCCCACCTCAAGCCGCACCTCCATCTCCTACTGACTAACCTCATCCCGCCCCCTTGACCTGTCCGTCCTCCCTGGACTGACTATCCCCTTCCTAACTCCCCACCTACACTCACCTTTACTGGCCCCATCCCCGCCTCTTCGACCTGTTTGTTTCTTCTCCACCTATCCTCTCCTCTATCCATCTTCTATCCGCCTCCCCCTCTCTCCCTATTTATTTCAGAACCCCCTTCCCCTCCCCCTTTTCTGATGAAGGGTCTAGGCCCGAAACGTCAGCCTCTCTGCTGCTATGATGCTGCTTGGCCTGCTGTGTTCATCCAGCCCTGCACCTTATTGTCTCGGATTCTCCAGCATCTGCAGTTCCTACTATCTCTGTTACTGTCCCAGTTGTTTCATGAGATTAGCGTTCCCTGACAAACCTGTTAGGTGGCACTTTTATTGAGCCCCTTTTGAAAGATCACATCTACCACGGCAAGAACCTTCCTTTTACAATCACCACTTCTCTCACACTCCCTGGTGGACTTCCCTGTTGAAGGGCTTGTTTGGGACACCCGTTCCCAGAAAAAGTTCCCATTCCATCTGTTCTTTTGTTGTGGAGTTGAGGCAAGAGAAGCAGACGTTCAGTTCTTCAGTGCTCGGCTCAGACTGAAAGGGCTAGATGGTCGTTCTTGTCTCCTGTATCTTCTTCAAGATGGTGCTGTGGGAATTCCAAGGCTTTGGGCCTAGGAACCTAAAGATGCAACCACCAGTGAGGGGCAAAGGAAATCAAGAATGACCGAGAGGGAAAAATTCAAAGAGCAGAGATTGCAAAAGCGTTTTCAGGTTGCAGGAGGTGGAGTGATTTGAATTTAAGATGGAGGTGCTGCTGATTCAGAAGCAATGCCGGCCATCGAGGTAAAAGGTGCACAAGACTTGCTGCAATTTAGGATATGGTCAGCAGATTTCTGGAAGAGCTGAAGTTTATGCAGGGTGTTAAGGGGGTGGGTGCCCAGAAGAGCATTGGAATGATTGAGTCTACAGTAACAAAGACATGAATGAGTGGTTCAGCAGCCAAGGAGCTGAAGCATGGAAACACAGAGGTAATGTTCCAGATTTGCAAGTTGGCAGAAACCTCTCAAAATATTGTCCCAGATGTGAGTTTGCTAAGAGGATTCTCATTACCCTAAAAACAAAATGCATTTGTAATGATCTCAGGCCCATTTTTTCCCAACTTGGGTGTTACTCTTGTTCTTTTTTGATTTAGTTACAAGTGTTCCATCCGAAGCAGTATTGGGAAAGACTTCATTGCGAACACGTCACTGGGGACTGGGAGGGAACGGCCAGGTGATGCAGGGAAATTGATCAGCCGTGTGTGTGTGTATGTGTCTCTCACAGGATATGGAGCAGTTTGAGACGGAGGTGAAGAGCTTGCAGGTGATGGTGAAGCAAGCCCAAGTCACTTTGACCTCGCCTGAGCTTGCACGCCTGTGCCTGAAGGAGCAACTCTTTCAAAGACAGGTACCAACTAATTTGTTGAATCATACTATACAGAAGGAGGCCATTCAGCCCCACTATGCTGAGGTCAGCTCCTTGAAATGCTATTCACATGTCACACTCCCCACTTGTCCAAATGCATTCTGAAAGTTATTGGTGAATCAGCTTGCATCACCTTGAGACAATGCATTACCATAATTTACTCTTTTAAAACATAGCTCATCTCCCCTCCTGGGTTTTTGTCAAATATCTGCATCGTCTGGTTATAATTTCTCATTCTCTCTATCCAAATCTCATACACTTCAATGAAATCTCTCCTTAGCCTTCTTAGGAGAACGATCCCAGCATCCTTAATCTTTCCACTTAACTGCAGTATCTTTATCGATGGCCCCATTCAGAGAGAGACTGTGAAAGTCCCTCGAAAGGAACTGCAGCCTCTTGACTTGATGGTGAGTATGTTACTGTCCAAGGTGAGGTTGGCACCTTTATGCACGTGCCCATCACTCATGGCAGGCTTTGACCCTGCGTTTGACTGGTGCCCTCTCACTATCGGGAGGGGACACACAGGAAGCACTATCCAATGGGCTTTTAAAGTACCCAGTTTGAGGGACTGGGAATCGCACCAGGATCTGGGCTTCACCCTGAATTCTCGCCCTGCCCCATTCCAGCCGTTAGGTTTCCACACGATCTCTCTGCCCCACCCCTGAAGCATTAGAGGGGGGGGCAACTCGATCTTTGATTGTCAATATTCAGCCAGCAGCGTGACTTTCCTGACTGATTTCTGTGTGATTCGTGTCTCGCTAGAGGTTGCTGGCCAACATGGAGAGCTTCAAGCACAAGGTGCAGGTGGTGCACCGCTATCAGGCTGCCCTGCGAATTCCGGAGGAAATTGTCACCAATCTGCCCATCTGTCTAACAGCACTGAGGCTGCAGGAGCAGGCCAGTCGGTTACAGCACACTGCCATCCAGCAGTGTAACATACTGCAGGTAAGCTGCCCTGCTGTCAGCACTGGCTGGAGTATGCAATGCCACATTGGTTTTCGAATGAAGTTTCAAAGGGTATCATTCAGGGAGCAAAGTCCTTTTCGTGATCGCTGCCCGTCCACTGGAATCAACGAAAACAGTCAGATTTTGTCAAAGCTTTCCTTCGTGGAGTTACCAGGATCATTCACAAGAATACCAATCCGAAGGGGGAAAAGAAACAGTTGTACTGTATAAGAGGAGGCACAGATTGGCACTTTTGTTAATCCTCCTGATGAGTGCAAAATAGAAAGCTTGGGCAGAAAGTGCTTTTATCAACAATTTTCAAGTTCTGTATTACCAAGCGATTTGTAGCGTTATACAATATCATGAGGGGCATAGATAAGGTGAGTTGCAAAGTTCTTTTCCCTAGGGTAATGGAGTTCAAACTAGAGGGACAGAGCAGGTCAGGCAGCATCAGAGCAGCAGGAGAGTTGACGTTTCGGGTCGGGACCTTTCTGAAGAAGGGTCCCAACCTGAAATGTCAACTTTCCTGCTCCTCTGATACTGCCTGACCTGCTGTGTTCATCCAGCTCCACTCTGTTATCCAGCATCTGCAATTCTTACTATCTCAAAACTAGATGGCATAGGTTTAGGTTTAAGGTGAGAGGGGAAAGACTTAAAAGGGCCCTGAGGGGCAACTTTTTCACGCAGAGGGTGGTTCGTACGTGGGATGAACTGTCAGAGGAAGTGGTAGATGTAGGTATGGTTACAACATTTAAAAGACATTTGGACAGGTACATGATTAAGAAAGGTTCAGAAGGATATGGGCCAAATGTGGAAAAGAGGGAATTGGAAACCTGGTCAGCAAGGACGAGTTGGACCGAAGGGTTTGTTTCTATGCTGACCGATTCTATAACTGTGTTTGAAATCCTTGTCTGCTACCTTCAACACTGATGCACTGTGACTGCAGTGCAGCAAATCACCATGGTTTCTCCCAGCATCTCCCGAACCCTGCCACAGGAAAGGGCAGGAGCAGCATGGGCATGGGATCACTGCCATTACCAAGTTCCCATCTACACCATCCTGACCTGGAAGTCTATCAGCATTCCTTCATTGCCTCTAGGTCAAACTCCTGGTCCTTCCTACCCAACAGCACTGTGGGGATACCTTCAGTGCACAGAAATGGTGGTGTTAGGGTAACATTACGGGAGTAGTATTCCAGAGGCCCAGTGGATGTAGGTTCAGTGACAGCTGATGGAATTTGAATTCAATTAAATCAATCTGTGATATGAAGCTAGTCTCAGTGATAGTGACCATGAAATGATCATCCATTGTAATAAAAACCCATCCTGTCTGCAAATGCCCATTAGGGAAGGAAATCTGCTGCCCTTATCTGGTCTGGCCTACATGTGACTCCAGACCCACAGCAATGTGGTTAACTCTCAGCCACCCTCTCAAATGGCCTGGCAAGTCACTCAGTTCAAGGGCAATAAGGGGAGGGCACAAATGATGTGCACATTCCCATGAAAGAATATTTTTATAGAAAACATGGATTGCGGTAGTTCAAAAAGAATGCTCAGCACCAGTTTCTCGAGGGTGACTTACGTGGATATCCCTCTCAGGGTCTCATGCGACTGTACGAGAAAATCCACACAGCAGTGAATGGTGGCTGCTTGCTTTTGGGGCATACTTACCTCTGAATCCAAGCGAAGCTGCAGTTCCATCAGGGAAGGCAATGGCGTAATGGTATCATCACTAGACTGTTAATCCAGTCACCCAGGAAACATTCTGGGGGCCAGGGTTTGAATCCTGCCATAGCAGATGGCAGAATTTGAATTCAATAAAATATCTGGAATTAAGAGTCTAATAATGACCATGAATCCATTGTCAATTGTTGGGGGGAAAAAACCCACCTGGTTCACTAATGTCCTTTAGGGAAGGAAACTGCCATCCTTACCTGGTCTGGTCTACACGTGACTCCAAACCCACAGCAATATGGTTGACTTTTAACTGCACCCGGACAATTATGGATGGGCAATAAATGCCAGCTGAGCCAGAGACGCCCCCTCATCCCGTGAATGAATTTTTAAAAAAAAGTTATTCTGAAAGCCTTTGCTTTCACCAGTGTCCCCAGCGCAACTTCGAATGGGTTGGTGGAAGGCGTTTAATAAATTGGTCGAAAAATGAGTGTTTATTCTGTACGTCCTTGTGGTATTGCAGGAAGCGGTGATCCAATATGAACAGTGCGAGCAGGAAATGCGGCATCTCCAGCAGCTGATCGATCGAGCCCATCGTGAGATCCAGGAGAAACCTGTATCTACGAGTAACATTCAGCAGCTGCAGGCTCAGATCTCCCGACATGAGGTAAAGGCAGCGCATGCTCAATTATTACCTTTGCTGAAAGTCAGAAAGGGACGTGTCGACAAACCTTGTATGCCCCCTTTTCAAAGGAACAAAGACCTGGCATCCATAGAGCCCAATCTAGGGGCCAACGATGTAATTCTGAGTTGTTATGTCGGAGACACAGATTGTGCATGGCAAGATTCCACAAACATCAATGAGATAATTTGCAGACAGTCAGATACATGAGGGACATTTAAGCGACTCTTGGATAGGCACATGGATGATAGTAAAATGTATGCAGGGTAGGATAATACGTCAGCACAACATCGTGGGCCGAAGGGCCTGTACTGTGCTGTACTGTTCTATGTTCTATCTTCTTTCCTTTGGATGATGGTTGACCAGCAAGAAATATTGGCTAGGACCACCCGGGAGAGCTCCCTTCTTCTTTAAAGCTAGTACCATTTCCCCTTCCCCCTGAGAGGGCACATGAGGCCCCAGTATAGAATTTCATCCAAAGGATGGTACCTCCAATAGTGCAGCACTCCCCCAGTGTTGGGGACGTCAAACTGAAATTTGTGTGCAAGTCTCTGAAGGGGCACCCACACATGCCCTTCTGACTCAGAAGCATGGGAGCTACCATGTGATATCTTATCGGAGTACAAGTGTTGTGTGTGGGAACTAATCTCAATCATGTGGGTCTCCTGAGATCGTTCAGTTTTTTTGGGAGACCCCTTTCATGCCAGGAGTCTTGGAAGCTCAGACACATTTTACGTATGATACACATGAGAACAGCCACTGACTCCCATAGTTCCTTTGATGATATCTCACTACATCCTGCTTATATCACACATTGGCTTGTTGCAGTTTCTCCATCTCTGTTCTAACGATGCAGCCTTGCATACCCTGTCATAGATTTGATCAAGATCCCTTTGTACGTTCTTCATTGCCCACTATACCACCTGTTTTGGTGTCATCGGCAAACCAATTAACCATGCTTCCTGTATTCTCATCCAAATCACTTGTATAAGTGACACACAACAGGGGACCCAGCACTGACCCCCGCGGAACACCGCTGCTCACAAGCCTCCAGTCTGAAAAACAACCTTTATCACCACCATCAGTTCTGAGGAAGGGTCACCGGACCCGAAACGTTAACTCTGATTTTTTTTCTTCTTCACAGATGCTGCCAGACCTGCTGAGCTTTTCCAGCAACTTCTGTTTTTGTTCCTTACCACCACCATCCTCTGCCTCCCGCCGACAAGCCAATTTTGTAAAAACAAAACCGAGAGAACTGCAGATGCTGGAAATCAAACAAAAACAGAAATTGCTGGAAAAGCTCAGCAGGTCTGGCCGCATCAGTTTTTTGTTTTAAATTTCAGAATCCACAGCATTTTGCTTTTGTTTTAAATCGTTGGTTGGGAGGGAAAAAGAAACCCTTTTCTCTCATTTTGATTAAACATATCTTGACCCATCCACTCGCTCTTAATGATTTCATTTGGGGTCGGGTTGATGATGCACATGGACTGTTTTGCATGACCGTGAAACTGATTAGTCCGGAAGCGCCGAGGGGAGGGCTCGGTTTTGTCTGAAGTTCGCTGTAAAGGGGACAAGCTGTTTGGGAAACCTGACGTCTCCAAGTCCCCGATGCCAGTTGGAATTGCTGTCCAAGGCAGGTACCGGGACTGGGAGTCAGTATTCGTGATCAGAAAAGCCTCTGCGGTTTGCAGAGATCTCTCTCTCTCTTGTGTTGTTGAATTTTTTTTCCGAGGAGCGCTGCATCTTTGTCGCAGCCGTGCCCTTGCACTGAACTGGGCTTTATTTTTGACCCGTGTGTGGGTCAGGGGTTAGTTCTGGCTTTGGGCACAGCCTCAGAGCGGCTGGATTTGGGTCTCGTCTCTGGGACACTCCCCTGAAATTGCAAGCCGGGCTCCCGCTCCATAACTGACCGTACAACGTTGCAGCCGCTCTGGCTACCCGGGGCTACCTGAAGCAAGCAGACTTCCTTTTGTAGAGACAGCGCACGCAATGTTTTATTTTAAACCACCTCTGCAGCGACGAACAACCCCCTCCCAAAAAGAAAACAGAAGTCACACACGCTTGGGTTAATTTCTGCACAAGAGGTTCTGAATGGGATCCGTTTTGCTTTGGCGAGAGAAAGCGAGCGTTTAAACATCCACCCAGTTGCCAGATGGTAACCGACTGCGGGAACTGGTCTTTCTCAATCCGCTCTCCCCCCTCTCAACCCATCACCTTGTGACCCAGTTATTCGCTAGCAGCTGCCTGTTTTCTTCTTTCACCGCCTCCACACACATACACACACACAATGGAGAAAGGCAGGAACGGATTTCCCTTTTTTTTATAATTCCCCCACCCTCCTACCTCCTGTTCCATTCCCAGATCTGGGTCAGACCGGTATCCAGGAGCTGCCAGTGTTCTGTGTGTTTTTTCTGCTGTGGTTTATGGCGGGGGATGGGAGGGAGGGAGAGAGAGAGAGAGAGATTACTTAGCTCGTTTCCTGTTGTATGCAATGCAGATTGCCTTTAGAGACTGTGTGTCTGTGTGTGTAGCTCCTGTTCTGCTGTCCTCTCTCTCTCTCTCTCTCTCACACACACACACACACATCCTGCCTCCCAGAGCTTACTGTTAGTGTCTGAATCTAAACACCAGCCTCATCTTATTGGTTGCCAAGGCAGGGGGGTGTGTCTTTTGGGGGGGGGGGGGGGGGCAGTGCATAATGTCTGAGGCTCTGAGCTGTTTCTTTGTCCCCACCGAACGATGTCTCAGCAGGCGTTCGCCCAGAAGATTAAGGACTACCAGGAGCAGATCGCTGCTCTGAATACCAAGTGCAAGATGCTGACCATGAAGGCGAAACATGCCACCATGCTGCTGACTGTCACTGAGGTGGAGGGGCTCTCTGAAGGGATGGAGGAGCTGGATGGAGAATCGATGGCCACGCACTCAGCTCACCCGTCTGTGGTCATGGTAAGGTTGTCCTCTTTCTCCCCCCCCCCCCAAATCACACTGAGCTAACAAAACATCACCCATCCTGCCGCTTTCAATCACCTGCTTTATTCCCACTGCCTGTCGTGTGCACATTAACCCCTTTCCCTCCTGAAATATTTCCCCTCTCTGATGGAGATTTCTCTCAGGTAATCAGTGGGATGGGGGCAACAGGTCAATGTGCATCTTTGTCACCTTCTTGAGATTTTATTCAGACCCTGTTTCACGTTACTAAAGAAAAGTTGTAATATTTTCAATGATTTGTGCTTTACAGTGTGATTTAATGTAACTGCTGCTCTCTCTCTCTCTCTTACCACATTGTGTTCCCTCTGGCTTGGTTTACTTAAGATGACAGCTGGGCGCTGTCACACTCTCCTCTCACCTGTCACTGAGGAGTCTGGGGAAGAGGGGACCAACAGTGAGCTTTCCTCTCCGACAGCTTGTCGCTCTCCCTCACCTAATGCTGATGTGTCTGGTAACCAGGTACTATCTTCTGCTTACTGCTTGTCACCAATTGCATGCTTCCCAGTAGTTGGGCATCACATTGCTCTGGTGGATCTGGCCACTACATGCCTCATTCATTTACATGGGTGTTGTCCTGTAACCTTTATAACGCTTATATAATGCACCCTGCCTGTCATCATGTGTTGAGATGGTTAAAGGTGAATTATAGATCTGTCTGCAACCCTGAACTGATTGTCACTGCTGCACACAAGAACATGCTCCTTGAATTCATGAATGAGAAAGGGCCATCTCATAATTTCTCAACTTGCACATTGAAGTTTAACCCTCCAGCCTCCTCCAGTTTAGTTTGGGATTATGTTCGGCGTAGACTGTTTGGACCGAAGGGTCTGTTTCCATGCTGTGCGACTCTATGACTCTATCTATAATACCCCATCTTTCTCATCCACTAACTTGTCTATTGAAGGCAACGCTCCTGTCTATTAACTGTTCCATTGGGAGTTATTTGCATTGAGCTATAGGAATAGGCTGGGGCTATTTTCCCTGGAGCATTGGAAGCTGAGGAGTGACCTTATAGAGGTTTATAAAATCAGTAGGGGCATGGATGGGGTGCATAGTCAAGGTGTTTTTCCCAGAGTAGGGGAGTCTAAAACTAGCGAGCATAGGTTTAAGATGAGAGGGGAAAGATTTAAAAGGGTCCTAAGGGGCAACATTTTCATGCAGAGTTTGGTGCGTGTATGGAATGAGCTGCCAGAGGAAGTGGTGGAGGCTGGTACAATTATAACATTTAAAAGGCATCTAGATGGATATATGAATAGGAAGGGTTTAGAGGGATATGGGCCAAATGCTGACAAATGGGATTAGACTTATTTGGGATATCTGGTCAGCATGGACGAGTTTGACCGAAGGATCTGTTTCCGTGCTGTACATCTCTATGACTCTAAATCTTCGTGCTGCAGAGTTCTTGTGGTGCAATGTTAGTATCAATATCTCTGGACTAGAAGGCCCATCTTCTCCAGAGGTGTGTAATGACATCACTGAACAGGAAAATATCTAAACCTATATCTAAACGGTTATATCTGTGCCCCTCCATGCACGTACCTCTCAGCATATTTCATTCCTACCTGCTACCAACCACCATTCACTAGTTCCATCCAAGTCCATCACGCTGTTACTCAAATTCCTCTAATTTGAAAAAAAAATTGTTTTGCTGTCCAGTCTGGCCTATCTGTTTCTGTTTTGTGCATTCTTCCCAGTCCCTCACAATTCCTGACTCTGGGATTTTGAGACTGCGCCAGCTTTTTCCTATTTCCTTTCTAGTTGGCTGAGGGCACTTTACCCAAGTATAAACCCTCCAATGATGCCAGGAAGGGGTCATTCCTAATGTGTGTGGGCCTCGATTGTTGGTGGTGTCAATCTAATCCATAATGGATGGCATCATCAGAGCGCCAACGTAGAATTCTGATTTCTCACAGGAACTACACCATGTATTGGGGTTTCTAGATGGTGAGCCTGAGAGCAAGCTTCTGCTGCCGGCCCTATGCAAATCTCGCACCAGATTTTGAACCAGGATCTTTCTGCACCGGGTCAACAGTTTGTGTAAATGATACACCGTAGGCAAGAGATATTTCTCTTTTCAATCCGCCACCCCTCCCGCCCCCAACAACCCCAACCCCAACGTTTTTTAAAGCTCTTGGGAATAAAATGAGCAATGCTGACAGAACCAACAAATTGTATTGATTATAGCATCTTGAATCTAGTAATATGCAGGAATACTATTATCAGACAAAATTAGACATGCAGCTCGATAAAATGTCTTAGGCCAGGTGACAAAAAGCTTACTCAAAGGAACATGAGAGAGTGAAATAGAGAGATGGAGAGCTTTAAGGGAGCACTCCCAGAGCCTGGTGATCACTTCCAGACAGCCAGTTGGTGTAGGTTGGAACTAGAGCCAATCTGTACTCAGCCTTGCGTTTCTTTACGGAGTTAAACATCACAAGCATACACCTCTTAACTCAGTTTTGATCACAGTTTCAATAAATGTCTTCTCATCTCTTCAAGTGAAATCCCACCACTTCTGTTTAATAAAACACTACTCATATACAATTAACAAGAGCCTGAGCAACGGAAAACATTATCACCAATAGTGGAATGATGTAGCTTAGTACTGTCCAAGAGACTAGTTGGAGGAATCTGGTGATTTCAAACAGTTGTGGAACTGGAGGGGATTACAGAGAAAGGGAATGAGAAGTTTATAGAGGGATTTGAAAATGAGGAAGTGCATTTACAATATAGGCACTGTAAATTGGTGCCCTTTGTAGGACAACAAACAAGGGTGATAGGCAAGTGAAATTTGGCACAAGTCAGTTTACAGCAAAGTTTTGATTAAACTTGAGGAACTGTGCAAAGTGAGAACATGGAAGAGATGGTGAGGGCATGGATTAATGAACACAGGCATGGATGAGGATTTCTGCAGAAGGTCACGAGGTAAGACTGAGAAGGAAAATGATGTAGAGGTGGGAGGAAGGTAGTCTTGGCGAAGGAGAAGGGACATGGTTGCAAGATCATCTTGCGCAAGTCCTCCTAGACTACTTGGAACAGAGAAACTTTCAAAAAGTGTTCTGTGCTCTCGGTATGGGGTTGCGGAGCCTGGAGGTCAGAGACCAAAGGATACTACAGTATCATCGATGGACTACCAACATCACCCAAATGTTTGTGAGACATTAGAGAGCCAAATTTACAGGAAAGTAACTAGTTCTGAAGTGCAGTGGTCACACAAGGTCAGGGTGAATTACTAACGGGGATGTGGGGAGAGGAAGACTGACCTATTGAAATGAAGATCATGACATAAAGTTACCTGTTCAAAGGCAGGGGGATGAATATTTTGTTGGCCAGCCAGCTTTCTCCCTTGTACCACCAGGAGAAGAGTAGGTAAGGCCTTTGCAGAAATTCATCCACTTTGTCCCTGCGCCCAATGCATTTGCATCAGTTCCGTTACTCTTCCTGGTTGTTGTTGTAGTGGACACCAACCTCACTTATGTTGGCTTCAGGTAGAGGGTTCTGGTAGTCAGACATTACATGGAAGGAGCATTGGTGAGCTGGCCTAGCAAATGGTTAACCAGCCTGCGAGTCCTTCCATTGCTTCAAACTGCCCTTGCGCTGTTGTTTCACTGTCTGAGATCAAAGCTCTGGGATATGTTTGTGTCAGTAACTCGAGATATGTGGGAATTAATAGGAATCGGCTTGCATGAGGTGTCATGTCTGGTGCATGTTGTGCGAGGGCTGTCGGAAGCCTGAAAAGTGCATGGGAAGAGGAGAATGATATTAACAACCTGCATAGGAACGATCACCCACTGGATCTGAATTTTCTAACCCCGTACCTCATGTAAGGTATAGCTTGTAGTCGTTTGAACCCGCACCCGGTCTCAATTGTAAGTGTTTTTGATTCTAGGATAGTGCTTGTTATGGGACATTAGATGCGGAGGAATTGCAGACTGCAGCTCCCGATTCTCAGGATATGGTCAGTGCGGCATCACTGCAGGAACCATTTGAAACCACCCTGGGAGACTCGACCTCATCTAAGCTCGATGACCTGCAGCGCTCCTGGGAAACTCTAAAGAATGTGGTGAGCTGGCAATTGCTAGGGAAGATGAATAATCTTCCTTTTTTTTATTTAAGTCTCTTTTCTTCCCCTTGTTTGCTTCTCTTGGACACGCCCACCTTTGTGCTAAGCTGCTGATCCACTCCTGTTGCTCTGCTAAAGTTATAGAACAGTATTAGTTTTGCGGATGGGGCATCACTAGGGAGAGTGGTATTTATTGTTGTCCTGGGAAGGTAGTGAACTTTCTTCCATCACCGACACTGATGACAGTGAAAGACACTGAACATGTCACATCTAGCCGATACCCAGTAATGACGGCCTGTTTCCATCCTTAAAGGGTAACGGTGTACTAGCTGTGATTCTACAACCAATAGCTTTACGATCATTTTTACTGACCGCAGATTTTTTTTTTGAAACTGAATCCAAATTCTCAAACTGCCACCAACACTCGCTCAGTGGACTGTAGCATGGTTGCCATGCCAACCATGCGGGAGGAGGCCATTCAGCCAATTAGATCTGTGCTGTATAACTGGAATGCTTGGAGCCAACCTTCTGCCCCTAGTGCCATTTGGGAGCCCTCAATACAGAATTCATTTGCACTTTCTCCAAGTATTCTGGAACCCCTCAGCCTTGATATAATGAACCAGGAACACAAGGGGGCACGGGGCCAGACGGCATGGATGCTGCAGAGAACTTATTGACATTGCTGCCATAAGAGGGGAAACTGGGATGAATGCTCCATGATCGAGTTGGAAGGATTTTGAGTTTTTCTCGTAGGTTTCCATTTCCACCCTTGGGTTGTGTGGAGTTTGCGTTTTCTCTCCGTGTCTGTGTAGGTTTGCTCCGGTTTCCTCCCACAGTCCAAAGATATGCAGTTTTGGTGGATTGGCCATGCTAAATTGCCCATAGTGTGCAGGGATGTGCAGGCTAGGTGGGTTAGCCATTGGGTATGCAGGGTTACAGAGATGTGTCTGGGTGGGATGGTGCAAACTCGATGGGCCAAATGACTTGCTTCCAAGCTGTAGGGATTCTTTGATTCTGTGTGATGAGGGGGATGATTAACTCGACAACTTTTGATGACGAAGGGTAATTTTAAAAATATCAAACATAATTTCTTTTATTTAAAACACGTTGTGATTTTTATAACCCCAAGTGCCACCCATAAGTTGTTTCTGAAGTACTTGTGAAGAGTAATCCTGATTTTAACGTTGGAATCTAAATTTCACATGAGGTAGATGCCCGGATAATGTGTTTTAAAGATGTTAGACAGGACACTGGGAAGAACACTGCTGTTTCTTCTTTAAATAGCACCATGGGCTCTTTTAGCTTCAGGGCAACAATGGTTTAGTATGTTTGTAACCCAGAGGCTCACATCAGTGGAGGAAGTGTTCAAATCCCACAGTAGCTGGTGGAATTTAAATTCAGTTACCTTCATAAGTTCAATGAATAAAAATCTAGCATTGAAGCGATAATGATGTGTTGAAACAATCTTCAATTGTTGGTGAAAGCTAACAGATTCCCCAATGTTCTTCGGGAAGGGAATCTGCCACCTTACCTACTGGTATCGATGTGATTGAATCTTCACTGTCCACTGAAAAGGCTTAAGCAGCTACGCACCACAGAACAGCAACAGCTCAAGTAAGTGGCTTAACAGTGCCTCCTCAAGGGCACTTAGGGACGGGCACAAATGCTGGCCTTGCCAGTGATACTCATTTCCCATGAAAGGAAGAAAATGGAAAAAGGAGAAGAGAATCTGGTTTAATGCAGTACCTTTGACGATGCAGTGCACTCTCAGACTGCACTGGTATCTCAGCCTGAAGTATACACCCAGTCCCCTAGTGAGGCTCAAGCTCACAGACTGCTGACTTGGAAAGATTAATTGCTACTAGAAAGGTGTATAGTAGCTTGATACGATTGAGTGGTTTGCTAGGCCATTTTAGGAGGACATTAAAACAGAATCAACCGTATTGCTGGCAGGTCTGGAGTCACACCTGGGCCGGACCAAACAAAGATGAGATTTCTTTCCCAAGAGGGCATTATTAAACCAGGTGAGGTGTGGTCATCGTCACTGAGATGATCATTTCATTCCCCATGACTAACTGAATGTAAATCCCATCAGCTGCTGTGGGATCTGAGTATCTGGATGACCAGGTCAGTGACATTACCACCATGATACCAGGCAGCAGCATTGCTTCCTGAGCATGAGCCAACACTGGAGGAAAGGTAGATGATGGCATTACTATGGGATGAGAGACAGGAATGGGGTCAGGTGGACTTTTATGGAGAGGAAGAGGAAATGTGCGTGTGTGTGTCTGTGTCTGCGTGTGTGTGCGAGCGTGTGTGTGTGTCTGTGCGTGTGTGTGTGTGTCTGAACGACTGCGTGTGTGTGACTGCATGTGTGTGTGTGAATGAGTGTCTGCGCATGTGTGCATGTATCTACATGTGCTGTGTCAGTGTGCGTGTGTGTCTGCATATGCATGTGTCTTCATATGTATGTGTTTAAGAGAGACTGACGTTATTTTCCCCGCTGTCCAAAGTTTCTGGAAAGGTTATTCTGATCACATGGGATGTGATGAAAGATCGATTAGATTAAGGTGCATGATAGTTAGCTATCTCCCAGCGTTTGCTGTGTAAATATTTGCTCTCTAAACCTTGCCTCTGCAGATCAGCGAAAAGCAGCGGACTCTGTATGAGGCCCTTGAACGACAGCAGAAGTATCAGGATTCTGTGCAGTCTGTCTCAGCCAAGATGGAGTCCATTGAGGGGAAGCTGGGGGAGGCACTCGATGCAGGCAAGAGCCACGATGTCCAGGTGGCCGCTCACCAGGTATGGCTCGTACGTAGCTGTCCCTGATTCGCTCGTTACTGCTATTGATGGACTTTACTGTCCAGGCACTTATCTTCCTGATACACGGGCTGCACTGCTTTGAGAGAGAGCCTGTAACACTCTGCACACCTTTGTCACGGTGTCCATTGAGCTTTAAGTCCTGAGGTTGGTCAGATTTGGGTTAAGGATATTTGTGGCTATGTCTGTTCCCCCCCGCAGGCGCTGATGGATGAGATTGTGACACTCCAGGATGAGATCAATGAACTACAGATCTGTTTTGCTGAGGAACTAGTGTCTGATACTGTGGACACAGATACTTCTGACCAGCTGGCTATGCAGTCCACACTAATGGTGCTCGCAGAACGCATGGCCACCATCAAGATGAAAGCATTGGGAAAGAAACAACTTCTTGAGGTTTGTAGACCCTGAATCCTCTACCCAGGGATTTGGTCCTTTTATTTGTCGTCCATTCCACCTTTTCCTGACCATTCTGAAGCTCCTGTCATTTCTCTGCAATTGTTCGTTTTCTAATAATATGCAGAAAGGGCACTGAAGTGGAACTGGATATAATTGGTCCCAGTTTACTTTGGAAAACTGGAACTTGTTCCATTGGAGTTGAGACGAAGAGTTCAAAATTTTTGTGGACTTTCTAAGGTAAGTTGGCACAACTGCTTTCCACTGGTCAGTGAGTCAGTAACTAGCAGTCTCAGTTTAACATCATCAAGATGTCAAAGAAGGAGGAATAGAGACGTTTTTTATTTACACAGGTTAATAGTTATTATTGTAAGTGGGATGTGGATTAACCTACTGTTTTCAGCTGTCAAGTGCTACCTCACTGTAGCAGAGGAATATTTAAATAAATAAACCTTTCGGAGAAAGGAATGTTTCTGGGTGACCAGCAGATAGCCCTGCCCTTTAATTACTGTCACAAACTCATTGCGTAGCATTGGTTCTGCCATTCACTTGGGGCAAAAGCACATTTACAGCAGTTAGAACTCAGTCTGGCAGAGCTTCTGATGGACAGAATCTATTCATAGCATCCCTACAGTGGGGAAGCAGGCCATTTGGCCCATCGTTGCTCCAGAAAGCATCCCGGCTCGACCAGCCTTGTAACCCTGCATTTCCTATGGCTAATCCACCTGACCTACCCATCCCTGAACACTATGGAAATTTCCCATGGCGAATCCTCCTACCCTGCACATCTTTGGACAGTGGGAGGAAACTGGAGCACCCGGAGGAAACCCACGCAGACACGGGGAGAACGTGCAAACTCCACACAGACAGTTGCCCAAGGGTGGAATCAAACCCATGTCCCTGGCACTGTGTGGCAGCGGTGCTAACCACTGTGCCACCATGCCGCCTACATTCCAGCGATACAGCGTAATGTTGCATCTTAAAATCCACTCGGACAGTTCATGCTGTGACCTTAAATGACAAAGTGAAAATGCTGGAAACAGCAATGTTTGCTTAGAGAGGCAGCAGATTCATGTCAGAAGTGGAGGATGTTAGGAATTTCAGAGTGTTTGAACAAGAACAGAGGCAAAGAAAAGTGGGGCTTGATAATGGCAGGGGGAGAGCAGCAGGCAAAGAAGGGAAGGTCTGTGAGGGCAGGAGTAAATAAGCAACAATAGGGATTATGCTATGGGCTGGTAGCAGATACATAAAGAAATAAAGTTGAGTGTAAAGGATAAATAAACAGCAGAACCATTAGAAATGGAAAAGTTGTTTTTTACGATATTTATTCTTTGATGGGATGTGGTGAGACCAGCATTTGCTTCCCATCCCTAACTGGCATTTCAGAGGGCAGTTAACAATCAACTGCATTGCTCTGGGTCTGGAGTCACACATAGACTGGTCTAAGGAAGGATTCCAGATTTTCTTTCTAGTGATATTTAATAAATCGGAATGGCTGAAAACAACAACTGGTGATGGTTTCGTGGTCACCATTACTCCGACTCGCTATCCATTGCAGATTTTATTCACTCAGCTTAAATTCCATTGGCTGTCATGTTGGGGATGTGAAGCTGTGTGCCTGAGAGGTGTAGCCTGGACCTCTGTGCTACGAACTCAGTAACATTACCACTTTGTTGCAGTCTTTTCGAAAAGTTTGGTTCAAAGTTGTTTACCTCAGTCTTGTGGTTAGAAGGCTGTCATGTGACAGACAAGGGATGGAGTGGCCAGTTTAGGAGGGAGAACTGAGACTGCGCACTCATAGCCACAACTGTGATCTGACTGGAGGCGATCAGAAAACGGGATCCCTGATGTGGAGTGGACCAAATTGTGAGCAGTGAAAGTAGTGTATAAAATACATGGTCTCGTTTGCTATTTCATTAGGAGAGGCTGAATGAACAGGAAGAGGAACAGCGTCAGGAGCAGGCTCTCCAAATGTATCGCAGTGAGGCTGATGAACTGGACAGTTGGCTTCTAATTACTAAAGCCATAATGGATGCGACACTGAAAGTTCCCAAGGAACAAATGGACATGGATGAACAGCTCAATGATTGTCAGGTATTGATTCAAGCTCAAAGAACTACAGATAATAGAGACTTACTTTCCACGCATGCCTAGATTTTTAACTGGGATAAGTTGGGTGATGAAATTACTTTCGAGCTAGGACAGAAATTTTGGATTTGTATAACGTACAAACAACTTACAGAAGAACATGAGTAGGAGCACAAGTGGGCCATTGAGCCCTTCAAGTCTGCTGCACCAGTCAATGAGATCATCACTGCTCTTAAGTTCATTTTTCTGCCTGCCCCTTTAACCCCTCACTCCCTTGTTAATTAAAAACCAGACCAACTCAACCTTAAATACCTTTAATGATCCATTGGCCTCCACTACTTGCTGGGCAAAACATTCTAAACAGGAGTGATCTTCTGAGAGAAGAAATTCCTTCTCACGCTATCTTAAATGATCCTTTCTTTTGAAACTTTATCACCTTGTTCTAGATTTCCACACATGAGGAAGCATTGTCCCAGCTCCCTGACAAACTCCCTCAGGATCTTGTACGTTCCAATAAGAAACTCTTCATTCTTCTCGATTCCAGTGAGGCCCATTGTCCAAGCTAGCCTCAGCCTGCTCAATCGTTTTTGATAAGCCAAACCTCACATCCTGTGAATTGGCCAAATGAACGTTAACTATGAATATATTCCTCCCTAAGTAAGGTGATTGACATTGTACACTGTGCTCTAAGTGAGGTCTCATTCATGCCCTGTACAGTTGCATCAACTCCTCCCTACTTTCATTCCAGCTGCTTGCAATAAAGGGTAACATTCAGTTTGCCTTCTTATTTCCACACAGTACCTGTGTGCTAACTTTCTAATTCATGTAGAAGAACACCAGGTCCCTCTGTACCAGAGTATTCTACAGTTTTGACCTATTTAAATAATGTTCTGCTTTTCAATTTCTCCTGCCACAGTGGATGACTTCACACTTTTCCACATTAAATTCTGTCTGCTGTCACTTTAACCTACCTGTGTCCCTTTGCAGATTGTGTGCAGTGACCTCTCAATGTACTTTCTTACTGATCCTTGTATCATCAGTAAATTTGGCCCTTCATCCAAGTCATGAATATAAACTGTAAATAGTTGAGGCCCTAACACTGATCACTGCAACATTCTGCTAGGTACAGCTTGCTGTCTTGAAAAATGACTCCTGTATCTATCTACCTTTCTGTTAGCCAGCCAAGTCCTGTCCCTCTATCTCCCCAACACTGTAGGATCTTACCTTAATTAGTAACCTTTCTAAAGTTGCCTTATTAAATACCTATTGGCCATCCAAATCCAAGTACTACATTGACTGATTTCCTTTTATCTGCCCTGCTTGTTACGTCGGCAAAAACCCCCAACAATTTGTCAAACACTACTTCCCTTTCACGAAACCATTTTGACTCTGCCTGATTGTATTCTGATTATCTAAATATCCTACTGCTATCTCTTCGCGACTGGATTGTAGCAGAACGTCTGTTTGACAAGTGTTTGACAATCAGTGGAGCACTTTCAAGTTGTGTGGCCAGTATTACCATGTCAGAAACCCTGCAGCCCCTCGGCAGAAGACTTCTGCTCTTTAGTGGGCATCTTGGAGTCTTTGAAGCCCACCTGGGAAGGATTGGGTGTCTGTTACAACTCACCTGAAAGATGGCTCCTCCAGGAAGGATATTATTAAGCTAGAGAGGGTTCAATGAGATTTACCAGGATGTTGCTGGGTATGGTATGTTTGAGCTATAAAGGAAGGCTGGATAGCCTGGGACTTCTTTCACTAGAGCGTAGGAGGTTGAAAGGTGACCTTATAGAGGTTAATAAAATCATGACGGGTATAGATAGGGTTAATGGTAGGTGTCTTTTCCCTCGAGTGGGGCATTTCAAGACTAGGGGCATATTTTTGAGGAGAGAAATTTCAAAAAAAGGCATGAGGGGCAAATTTTTTACACAGAGTGGTTCACATGTCGAATAAACTTCCTGAGAAAGTGGTGGGTGTGGGCACAGTTACAGTGTTTAAAAGACACTCAGATAAGTACATGGATAGGAAAGGTTTGGAGGGATGTGGACCAGGAGTAGGCAGGTGGGTCCAGTTTAGTTTGGGATCATGTTCGGCATGGACTGGTTGGACCGAAGGGTTTGAATCCATGCTGTACGACTCTATGACTCTGGCAATGCAGTCCTGCCTCAGTGCTTTATTGAGAGTCGAGATTTTGTGCTTGAGTGTCTGGAATGGGACTTCAACCTGTGATGATCTGAAACATGATGCCTGATTACCAGTGCACCGAGATAAGGCTGGGGTTAATGTGACTTTTTAGTGGCCTTATGGTGTAGTCACCAAATGCTATCAGCTGCGGAGGAACAGTCAGTGAGGTGTTGGTAAGTGTTCTTTTCTTCTGTTGCTAGAATTTGACAGTGAGGAACAGCTCATCATTATCTGTAGCTGTAGCCTTTCCCAGCTAGACATTCTGAAAATACGCTGAAGCCCATCATGAACTTGTATTGATGGATTGCTTGGCCTCGGGACATTGTTGAATCACAATCACTCTTGTAATTTAGAAAACACAGCAGCCAATTTGAGGGCAGCAGGATTCCAGAGGTAGCACTGCAATACTCTCTGGATAATCTCTTGTAAGTGTTTGATTGGGGGATGGATATTGAGCAGGATGCATGGCCAGTCATCTGTGCACTAGCTTTTGTGAAGCAGGATACCTTTGCAAAAGAAACTGTGTTAAGTCATTTAGACTCAGAGCAGGTAACTTGAAGGATCGAAGTAGCTGTTACTCATGATGTATACATGGGTCTTCACGGAGATTATGGTTCAGATCTGTGTCGTTTTGTGTGTGTGTGTGTGTGTGTTGGAAGCCGATTTGAGTTGATCTGCCTGTTTCTGCTGCGACAGAACATGTTGGTGGAGATCGAACAGAAAGTGGCATCCGTATCAGAGCTCTCCATGAACAGTGAGAACCTCCTTCTGGAAGGGAAGCCTCAGACCCGTGAACAGGCAGAGTACCTGATTGAGAAACTCCGGAATCTGAAGGGGAGCTTGGTGGAGCTGCAGAAAATGCTGCAGGACAGAAGTATAAAAGTAAGGACATTGCACGCACACCCATGCTAACTGTATAATACACTTCAGAGAACTCTTCCCAGCAATGTTACACAAAGGAACGCAATATACCTAAAACAAATTCTTTTCTTTGCCTAACTGAAGTTCACTTTTCTGCCTGTCCCCTTGACCCCTAGCTCCCTTGTTAATTAAAAACCTGACCAACTCAACCTTTAAATCATTCAGTGATCCATTGGCCTCCACTGCTCGCTGGCCAAAACATCCTAAACAGTAATGACCTTTGGAGAGAAGAATTTCCTTCTCGCACTGTCTTAAATGGGCGATCCTTTCTTTTGAAACTGTGTCCCCTCGTTCTGAATTCCCCCACAAGGGGTGACAGCAGATGACGAGGAGAATGGATAGGTCACCATTTCCCACTCCACATTTCATGTTGCTCTTGTACTTGTTGCCAGGTTACCCATCCTGATATAAACCCCCTCCAACACCGAAGCCTTCAGGAGGCTTTGGCCTCTGTTCGATGTCAGAGTGGAGTGATGAGGCGTTGATGAGGGAGTGGGGCTGTTGCGTCATCAAGTCAGGAATGCACGTGGACATAACAGCCACGTTAATATTTTGGAACACGGATGTGGAATTTCCTGACTGTGTCTTGAGCCAGCGAGAGATATCCGCTTAGTCCCCTGTGAATTGGCCTGTGCCCCACTGAATTTCAGGGCCATAGTTGATGAGTTGCATCACTGAAGTCAGAATAATTCTATAGATTTGTGTCTGTTTCCCCGAGAACCGGAGGCTGAAAGGCCATTGGATGGAGACATTTCAAATAGACAAAGGGTTTGAGTAGTTGCATCTAGGAATGTATCCACATTTGGTAGAGTTCAGGATTAGGAACTATAAATGCCAAAGGAAAACAGTTATGGATGTATCTAATAAGGAATTCAGGAGAAATGACTTTAGCAGGAAATACTCAGAATCTGGAACTTCTAACCTCAGGTTAGAACAAATAGCATGCACGCACTTAATAAAGCTAGATAAACTCATGAAGGAGAAAGGGAGCGAATTGCATGCTAATAAAGTGAGAGCGGGTAAGCTCGTGCAGGACAAGCCTGGGCCTAAGCCCGTTGAAGCTGAATGGCCTGTTTTGTACTGATGGTTTCTGTGTAATTCTGTGAGCTAAATGTGCCTGCTGTGCCTCCACATCCTCTAGAATCCCCAACGTCACTGAAGATATTTGCCCTTCTCCTTTGTTTGTATGGGTCTTGGGTCTGGAATGTTCTTTTTAAGACTTGAAACGGTTAGGAATCCCATCCAAAATTAAACCAAAAGGAGACGGTAAGGACTGCAGATGCTGAAAGCCAGAGTCTATAGGTGTGAGGCTGGAAAAGCACAGCAGGTCACTCAGCATCTGAGGCGCAAGTAAGTCCTGACGAAGGGTTTCGGCCTGAAACATCAACGTACTTGCTCCTCGGATGCTGTCTGACCTTCTGTGCTTTTCCAGCCTCACACCTGTAGACTCTTAATACCAAAAGGAATTAACTAGATGCAAAGCAACAACTCGCCCTGGCTCCATTGACAGTAGCTTCCACATCCGTGACCTCAACCCTTCTAGATGGAGAAGCGCAACGTATGTATAAGAACATCAATCTGCTGAGAGTCCCCTCCAAAGCAGGCACCATCCTGACTCGGAATTATCATGCCATTCCCTCACTGTTGCTGGGACAATGTCCTGGCACTCCCTCCTGACAAAATTAATGGTGTGGCTGCATCCCAAGGACTACAGAAAGGTGACTCCCTACCACCGTCTCCAGCACAATGAATGGTAACCTAGCCAGCGGCACCCTCGTTCTGCGAGCGAATAAATAACAAAAAGGAAAGAGTTAGGTGTGGTTTGGTAGAAGTGAAAATGTATTTTCAAGTAACTGTCGAGTAACTGTGTGTCTCTTTTTCTCTGTGATTTAAGCATGGTGTGGTACAGGAAAAGGAGGATACAGAAATAGATTTGACGTTCCACACCAGCCCCAGTGTCCAGGAGTGGCTGGTACACGCTCGAGCAACTCGCTATCAGCACCAGCAGAACTGCCTACAGCGACAGAAGGCAAGTGAGCCATTGCCTGGTATTAATCACAGAAAGCCTAGCCTCAGTGATGAGAGTTCTTATTTCAATAAAGGCCAGAATTCCTCTTTGAAGCGGAGATTAGCAGGAAAGGTTGAGTAGGGGCTTTCAGAATGAATAAGAGTCTTTTGAGAGTGGACAGTGAAATCTCGCAACTGATTGTTGATAAGTTCTCTCTGAATAAAATGAAGGGGGACGTTGGAAGAAATATTTTCTCATTGCGGGTTACTATAACTAGATAGCAGTTTGTCACAAAGGGTTGTTGAGGATCTTCTTTATTACGTTTTACAAGTGCCCTATAGTATGTACCGTGTGAACTACTGCAGTAAATGGAAGTATACTGTGTCACATGGCACTGAGATGTACAGAATAAGATGACCCTACATCTGATGTGGAGTCCCCAGTGAGCCCCTGCTGATGCAGGGTAATGGGTTGATTATCGATCGGTAAAGATTCATTAGGGTTTGTAATCTGATCGGCCAGCTGGATGGTGTATAGACCTTTCAGCAGGAACTGAGACTGGCGCTGGCTTGGATTACAATGCCGCCACAGTTAATTTACTTTGTCAGTGCTCCCTGGTCAGGCTTGTGTCAGACAAGATGGTGCGTCTGGAGTTTGCTGAGTTTGAGCCAGCACCTTCGGCACCGGAGGAAGGGTGAACTTGCACAGTCTCGGGATATCTTGACGCTGTTTACATTCAGAGATAGTAGGAACTGCAGATGCTGGAGAATCCGAGACAACAAGGTGCAGGGCTGGATGAACACAGCAGGCCAAGCAGCATCATAGGAGCAGAGAGGCTGACGTTT